GGGGGGCTGCTTGTTTTAATAAGAGTTTTACGCACCACTTACAGCACAAATAGATCATATAAGTGCTGAGGAATTTATTGTGTTCAATGTTATGTTAGATTTGTGTAAAAAGTGACACACTATTGGAGTGTTAAGAACTATCTGTATTGTATCTTTTTCAGTCCTCAAAGAAGATTGGTTCTATAAAAAACAAGCCAAAAGTGGTGAAAGGAAAGAAATCCAAGTCATCAAAAGCAGGCTCTAGGAGTGGTGGCAGAACTGGTACCAAGTGATCAGAGGATGGCAGAGGATGAGATAGAGCGGTGTGTGTGGTCAACGTTGTTATTTATATCTGAATGGAGTGTGCGTCATTCTCATTGAAATGTGATGATGGGACTGCTTGTGGGCTCACCCGGAGGCTGTCGTGTGTCAGTCTCGGTTCCTCTGACATATATCAAGGAAGAAGAACATGTTATCTGTTCACTGTGTTGTTTTTTTGTTGTTGTTTTAATACCCTTGATTGTGAAGCCTGATAACATCTCTCTGTGTGATAGTGTTTTGATGTGTATGGAGGGAGTCCTCAGTGCTGAATTACTTGCCTCCTACATTTGCCACAGACTTCCTGGTACTGTGGAGTGGGTCAGTGTCATCTTATTGACCTGATGTGTATGAAACCATAGTTGGTTGTAGACTTTTTAGCAAAAAGCCAGGATTCATAATATGTAGAGCCCTCGTTAGTATTTGAAGGGAAAGGAAAAGCGTTGGAAGAAAGCTGTTCAGACACTGAAAGTCCAGCTAGCATATGTGGAGGGAGGTTGTTTTTTTTTTAGGAAGGCGCCAAGTAAGATGTTTGTCTGGCCCTGGTATTCCCGTACATTGTTAGAAATTATTTTGTTATTTCTCTTTCTGGTATAAAATAGTCCTGATTTGAGTTTGATGGTGTTATCGATCCAGGATTTGAATTTGATAAGACCATATGATCTGTAAGTCTTGAGTCCCCATGCAAGTGTTTCCATGGGGTCAGAACAGTTCAGAATTTTTTTCGTAGCCAGTTGGGACCTCTGACTATTGTATTTGGCATGCCAAGTCAGAAATTTGATGACAGAGGGTCTTAACGGTAGCTAAATTCACACTTATTGTGTTCTCCATTGTTTTCCTGTGGTATCAGACTTGGCTTCATGTGATCTTCTGCACAGTTTTGTGTCTGACTGAGGTAATTCCTGCGTTGCACTGTATGCTGTGGTGAGCACGTGCGTGTGTGTGTGTGTGCGTGCGTGCACAGGTGTATGTGCGCTCATTCGTTGTAGCCTACTTGTTAACAGATTTTGTTTTTATTCCTTAACTGTGTTCACTGACATCCTGTTTTTCTGTTTGTGTGTTGGCTTTTTGTACACTGATTTGTTGAGAGTTGATGTTCCTTGTTGGAGATTGATATTGTCAACTTTGAAATCAAAGACTTATAAATGAGTTATTCAACTTGCCTAGTCCCTGGCTCAAGATGACCAAACCTACTTCGACCAAACCCGCTTGTATCTCCATATCTTTATGGTTAGCTCCGTCAGTGCATTGAGTGGTCCAGAATGACTGCCATATGCTAGCTAAACTAGTCTAACTAGTTATGTCCTGTTTTAAGAAATAACAATATCACACACCTGATTTGTCAATATAAGTTGGTTTCCGTCTTTTTCCATGGAAGTGATTTCAGGTTTATTTTATCTGTGGAGTTCAGGGAGTCTGGTGTGGGTGGCTGGAGGGCGTCCAACAGGTCTTTCTATGTTTTATATCTCTTTGTTGTTTCTGTCTGCACCCCCCCCCCCTTCCTGTCATTATATGTTTTTAATTACTCAATCAAAGGAAATAAGATGTTTTTGGTTTCTGAGGTTTCCCCTCCTATGGGTGGGCGGGCTGCCACTAGCTTTGCAGGAGTTGGTGCCTTCTCCACCTGTATTTGGAATAGACTCAGCACACTAGGTGTTTACTGAACTAAGACTTGCCGAGGGCCTGGACCTCTTGGAATCCATCTATGTTGATCTCAACTGACATACCCGTGCAGTTGAAAGAAAAGTGGGTACGGTAACTCTTGTTTGTTTGGCTCTGATTCAAAGGCTTAGTAAGACACTTTGAGGTTACTCTTTTGTTCTTGTGATGGTGATGATACACATTTTGCTCACATTTTGTTTTAAAATGAACACCATATCGTTAAATTTTCCCTCATCCCCTTTCCAATGGCAACATGCTCGTTTGTTTTTCCCTTACATTGGGCAGGTTTTAGATTCTGTTCTCTGTTACTTTAGATCAGTGCTTTTCAACCTTTTTGTAGTCAATGCCCACTTTGCTTCCTGAAATTTCTGAACAGCCTCCCTACATGTATTTCCAAGTGGGTTATCGACACCTGTGACTACCCAAAATTAACAGATTGCCTTCTAGTGGGCAAGCACTTCCTAAGATTGAAGTTACTCATCAAAGACCACCAGTTTTTGTTGTGGTAGGCTTCTGGCTGTGTTTGAGCTCAAGCGTTTTGAAGTGTGTGTGTGTATGTCTTGTTGTGTGATGGGTGTGGTGTCTATGTGTGTGTGAATGCTATGTTGTGTAATGTCTGTGTATGCCATGTTATGCTGTGTGTCTGTGTACACCATGTTGTGTAGTGTGTCTGTGTGTATGTGTGTCTGTGTGTCTGTGTGTATGTGTGTCTGTGTGTATGTGCATGCCATGTTTTGGATGCTTGTGGTGATATTTACTAAGTGCTACTCAGTGCCATGATTTTGTCTGTTTGACCAATTGTTTGTTTGTTTCCCCTGCTGCTCTATGACTATGTGTGTCTGTATGTGTGTGTGTGGTTTGTTGTTTATTTACTTCCCCTTTGTCTTGTTGGCATTGAGTGGGGGGGGGGGGGGGGGGGTGGTAAATGCACACATCTGTAATTTACTTTGTTCTGAGACAGTATTCCTGCTCTATATTGATTAATGATCCATTTCTTTTTTCCGCTTTTGGTTTTGGGTTTTGATCGCTGCTTTTGCTTTTTATGTATTCATTCAGAAATGTGGGGGCTTTTTATTTGTCTTTTCTCTTCTATGCTGATGTTGGCTGATACAGGGGAAGGGGTTGGGGGACAACACACTGTCAACATGAACTTGGGCAAATGTAATTTAGCATGCAAGGGTAAACACACGTATATGCACATGCATGAACACAGACATACACACACATTTGCACTAGTGCACAGAGAGACTGCACCTACTTAGGTCTACGGGCTCATTATTGTCGCAAGTGTACACACAAATTTTCATACACCCACTTATGCACACACACACACACACACACACACACACACACACACACACACACACACACACACACGTATCTTTTGGGCCTTCACCAGGTCTCTGTTGGTTTTTGAAAAGTTTTAAAATAAAAACAACAGTGTTACTGAATAAAATCAAATTTTACTTGTTATTGCTATTATTGGCTTCTCTTGAAGTGGGTGGTTGGTGGGCGCTCTGCTCCTTTTATTTCTTTTTTTGTACTGTGCTCGTCCTTTTCTGTTCCTTTGAACCTGACAAAATGTTTTCATGTGCTGTAAATGGCAACAAACCGTGGATTGAGGAAGTATGGCTGTTGTCATAGAGGTGAGACAATCACCTTCTGAATTGTGGCCCTTGTCATAGTGACTTACCACTCACTGGATTTCAACAACAGTAGTTATCTCCTCCTAGTCCTAGTTCACTCTAAGCGGTGGTGTCTATTTGTGTTGCAAGTGCTGTAAAACCAATTAGAACTGAAAACTAAGAAGAAAAAAAAAAGGTCTGTAACTAGCTGGATGTGAAAGTAGGATGTGGGCAGAAAGAGGAGAGAGATAGCATGTGCGGGCGCTAGTTGTCTGAGATGTCTGGCTCGGTTGTGTGTCTGCCTGTTGGGCGTTGTGGCTCAAGTGTGAAGGAAAAAGTAGCAAGGTGTATACACAGGGTTAATCAGACATGAATCATGAAGTCATGCATAGTTGTCGATGTGTGTGGTCACCGGTGTGTTTGTCATTTTTTCTCCGTGTGTGTGCGGATGTTGTACCTCATACTCATAATTATGTCTGTTAGGTGTGTGTGTGTGTGTGTGTATTTCTTCGAATCCGTTTCTGTGGTTATGTATGTTCAAAATTTAACTGTTATTTAAATTTCAGTTTTGCTTACAATATTGTAGAAAGTGAAAACACTTTGCTTTTATTTTCCTTCTTCCTGATTTATATCTCTGATTTGTTTAATGCCTTGATGTTATCAAATGTGAAACGGAAAAAGATAATACATGTGTACTGTGTGTTCACAAGGGGCAGGAGGTCTGAAATATATTTGCTTGTTTTGCTTCAGCTCCAAATGGGATACAAGTTTCAAGTTCAGGTTAAACATGTGTTGAACTTGTAATGCAAATTTTCAATGCTAAAAAAAACCCTTGATAGACTTACTGAACTTGAACACGATGAAAAAAGGAAGTATTTAGTCTGCAAAAAGGAATTTGTGTGTGCCGTTTTCTACCTTATTTGGTCTGGACAATGTTGTTCTTTGCCGTGCTTGTTAATGTAATGACAAACAGCACGATGGGATGGAGAGTGAGGGGGTTCCCTCAAACCTGTTTTTTCTGTTAAGTATGCTGATTTACGAAGGACACAGAACAGTTTATCGTTTTTTATGCTGCCCCAGAGATGTTTGATGAAGTTGCAACTAGCAGCAAATTTGACCAACATACAGAATTCTGAGGTTCAAATTTGAGAAGAAACTCCCCGCTTTTCTTGCCATCCCAGAATAATTGGTCTTGTCAGTAGAGTATTTTTCTTGGCTTTTGACTCCATGTTTGTTTTTTTGTATAGTGGGGAGCTGAAGTGGGCGTATTGCCATCAGAGCTGATCTGTGCAAGTCATGTTTGCGACAAGTACTCACAGTCAGAACACAATTGCTTTTGTCATTTTTGGGGGATGAGAAATTTTTAAAAACATCTCAACGAAACAACCTGTTTGTGCATCAGTCCACCTTTTAGCTTGAACAAAAATTGACATGAAGTATTTGTCTCTACACTGTAGCAGGATTTTTAGTCCATGAAACAAAACTCTTCTGTACCTAGGACTAGCAACAAGTAACATGTGCTGCCGCAGAAGTAACCAGAAACCTTTTTAAAAAAATGACTGGAGCTGTTGTGTTATAACTTTCACGAAGTTATCCTCATTGATTCCTGTCATCTGTACATTCCTGTTATATGGTATCATTGTATCAGGCGTGGTGGCGTTCACACGAATGGACAGATGCATACTTATTGATTTATCAGAGGTGTTATGTTCTGAGCATGTAACTATTTGTAACAGGTTTCTTGAACATTTTTCGACACAATATAACAAACTCCCCTCCCCCAACTTTCAGAGTCAAAAGAAATGATACATGTTATCAGATTTGTGCAGTAGATATCCATGCTGCACAGCATGCTTTATGTGCTTTTGAACTGTTATTGATGGAAGTAGCCAGGTTCTTTGGCTTGATGATGTAAATGACGAGAGATGACTCAAAAGTTACTTGGTAGTATTGTTATAGCCAACTGTTTTTTGTACATGTTGACACTTGGGGTTTTTAATTGTGGAACTGCGGATTGACCTTTGTGGTGGTTTTAGAATGAAATAAAAAGTATGTATTTCTATAATAGTTACATGTTGAGAGCATAACAACATCAATGTACAGTATGTTTAGACATAGTGCTGTCAAGTCTATATGTCTGTTTGTATGTCTGTCTGTCAATAAGCTGGTATGTGCTGACATTGTGTGTGTGTGTGTGTGTGTGTGTGTGTGTGTGTGTGTGTGTGTGTGGACTGACTGTCGGAAGGATTCTTTGATTCTCACTCTGTTCACGTATTTTGTGTTTTGTTTGTTGGGTGACAGATGAGGCGAGAGGGCTGTGTCTGGTGTGTGTATTTTCTTGTGTCTGTGTGGCCTTATGATGAGCAATAGTCAAATATGAGAGAAGTTGGAAACGCCTAGTGGCTACATGTATTAGTATTTGTGTGTGGGGAGTGGAGGGGTTGCAAAGCAATTTTTAAGACTGGCTAAACATTTTAGCTTGAAATATATAATGATAATATGTATGCTATGTTACTGCTCTGGATGAGATGCAAGTTGAGGTCAGACATGTATTAAACATATTTTTGCTAAAAATCTCTTTGTAGCGGGCCTAGTTCACATGAACATGATGGAAATGAAGCGCAAGTGTTCTTTGACTTCTATAGATGGAGACAGTGTGCAGGGTGGCCGTTGTAGTCAAGCACTTGTGGTTAGGCTACCAGACTTGCAGTTGTAAAATTGCAGATTCAGGGGTTCAAGGCTTAGCTCGGTCCTGTGTTGTGTCTTTGGGAAAGGTATTTTTACATGAATATTCCCAGTTGGCTTGGTCCTATTGGAGTTGTTGTTATCGATCCAGTGGTCCTATTGGAGATGGACGTTAAATTAAGAGGGACGTTAAATTAAGAGGTCCTACCGCTTAAATAACGTTACAGTATTACAAGGGACGTTTAACCTATAGAATTTATTATTTTTTCCCCAAGTGTTAAGGTGTCATGCATTGATATTAATTACTAATGGACACTGATTGTTGGCAGAAAGAACATGTTTGGGTCAACTTTCTGTTGTTGGGGTTTTTAAAGAGGCACCCAATAGGGGGACAGTATTAGCTCAGTAAGTAGGCTATCTTGCTGAATTAAAATATGGATGATTGTGTCTTGAATCACTGTGAACAAGGGAGTTTTGAATTGAGGTAGTTTTCAAAGTACTGTACCCATTTGACTGTGTCCTGTCAAAGATTAGTTTTAAAAATGGGGATCCAGACTCTTTAAAAACTTTACTACCTTATAGACAGTTTTGACTTTGATGTTGAACCCATTCCATGCAGTTTCTGTTGTAAAGTAAGAGTCGTCAAACAAGTTTCTGAAAGTTGACCTCAGCTTGAAGCTATGGCTGTTGAAGGCTATCTATACATGTGCTGAGCTTTTACTCTGTGACTTGTGTCTCATTTGGAGCTGTCGTCTGTGGTTTGTGGTAGCATTTATTGTTTGTCGTAGCGTTTTTTGTTCCCACACCAGGATTGTTTCCCCATGTCTGTTTAGGTTTTGTTTTTCCAACCTCGAGACATTCAGATTTATTTTCTTCATCTTAAAAAAAAATGTTCTTTGTTGTCTTTTTTTTTCTCTCTTCACCTCTGAACTTCACCTCTGAACTTCACCTCTGAACTTCACCTCTGAACTTCACCTCTGAACTTCACCTCTGAACTTCACCTAGATTTGCTTTTAACCTCTTCCTGCGGCTCCACCGATGTCTGTGGTGTAGCAGTTAAGTGCTTTGCTGTCACTCGAAGGAGATTCGGGGATTCAGATTCCTGAGTGGGGAGAATT